GTGAGGGTATTTACAGATTGGATAATATTTAGCTGTACTCCTGCGTGACAGTCTTGCTGATTGGATGACTTTCAGCAGTGATTGTGCTGATGCAAAATAGCTAATGACCAATTAGGATAAGTTTAAAACCATGTCCGGCAATTGTTGCAAGGCCAAAGAACAATGAGCCCTTTCCTAAGAAGACAGGAACTTTCTGTTCTTCCTTAAGCCATTTCCCTTCAACGTTCTTATCTGTAAAATGGGGAGAATACAGATATTGTGACAACAACTGTTTATTAAGGGCCTACTATGATACTTGCCACACGCTAATCAACTCAACCATTGTATGGCAGCAGTTACCATAAACCATAAGTACACAAATGTATGTGGCTGCACTCCAATAAAACTTTATTTACAAAAATAGGCAGCAGGCAGGATGTGGCCAGTGAGTAGTAGTCTGCCAGCTCTGCTCCAGGTTATCTTTAGTACCAGCTGTGGCCTGCTCTTCTGCCTCTCCTAGCTTCTAGCTCTGCTGTCCCTTTGATCTGTATTACACTTTCCCCTCTCCTAAAATGCTTTTCTTCTACTGAACTGTTAGCTTTCAGTAAAGCATCACCTCATCGGGAGAAAGTGCTGTCCACACCTTTAGACTATTACAGGCCCCCCCGCTGTGTGCTCCCAAATGCATTTCCTCTTTCGCCACCTTCATCTCACTTTGTTATAATTATTTATTTCCATGTCTTTCTTCCCTGCTAAACTGTGAGCTCTGTGAAAGCGGGGATTGTTTGTCTCCCGTGCCATTTGATCACAGGGCTTAGCACAATTCCTGACATGTAGTAGGTGTTTGGTAAATACAAGGGAAAAGAATGAATAAGTACAATTTTACAGAGAACACCTAAGACAAACTTCGGCTACTGTACACTTGTGTCTACCTATTTTACAATTTTTCCTAAAACCACCTTGTTCCCAAGAAATGGATTCTTCACTTATACATATTATCAAGCTCACAGGCAATTTTGCCTCTATTTTACAGCGTAAGGATTTTGAAACGAGGAAACTTCAGTGAAATCCATGTTTAAGGCACTTTTATTCTCATGCCACTATTTCCCTGCAATGGTGACCTTTAAATTCAGCCTGAGTATAAGTGGGGTTGTCAGAACATCAGGTTACATTATGCTATTCAGCTATTTGTGCCTTTTAAAGACGACGTAAGTTCCAACATAGACTGCACAGCGGGAAAGTTACCCTGATGATATTCTGGAAACTGCCGCAGCCAGGATCACATCCGGAAGTGGGTCAGCAGTCAGGAAGGCTCATGCTTCTTGGAAGTCACTTTCACTGGAAACAGGCCCACATTTATCCTTCCAGAAAATAAGTAACCTGTGGCTCGTGCATGGCCTTTCTTCTTCAAGCAGATTGGAGAGAGGATTGGGTTTGAAAGAAAAGAATGGAAATGTGCCTTCACCACTTATTTTGATCCTTCAGGGGTGGTGTGTGGAGCTGTGTGCTTGGATCTGCAGTGAATGTTGTAGTCGCTGATTGTTCCACCTAATCTGGGGCTCAGAGGACTCCGGGCTGGTACTGGTTCTCCACAATTCCTCCTAGATGTAAACCAGCCCCTGACCTTTTCTGCAGCTGTTTGACTAGCTGAGCCCATTCCAAAGCTGATAAACAGCTTTGATAAACAGGTTGAACTAAACAGCTCCCAGAGACACTTCCAGCTCTGGTCATGCAGTTGATTTCTTCAGGGTGCTTTCAGAGACACAGCTATCAGGGCAAGAAGCATGGGGCATGGGATGAAAGGAAGAGGGAGAGGGGATCCAGCTTCCAATGGTAAGTCAGGGCTTCTCCACTTTTTGTTGCATTGCCATGAAACAAAGACCTCCCGCTGTGCTCCCAGCCCCATAGAATGGGCTGTAAGCTCATGTCTGAGAAGAGAGATCCAAAGGAGAGGCACAGACACATAGAAATCATAAATAATAATAACAATAATAATAAAACCTAATACAATGCCTAACTTGCTCCTTAGAAAACTGCCATGTGGCAGTAGACAAAAGACACCTTCCTGGGCTTTACCCCAACAAAGGCCAGTTTAAATGACAATGGACCTGCACACTTTAATAGTTTTTAAAGCCCATTTCCCAAAGACAGGCAGGATAATCTAGTAACAGTGAGAAACATCATCAGGCACTAAGTTCTAGGCACTGTTCTGATTGCTGTAAAGGTATTAGGTAGAGTCATATACAGCTGCTGTTTTTCTGGGCCAAAAATGCATAAACACCAGCAATTTTATATTTCCATCTAAGATTAACTCTTTTGGTTTTAACAGCAATCTAAATACTGTTGTTGTCTTTTGTTATGAGCTCTAGATGAGTTTTTAACTCAGCTGTGCTACTCTGGTCAAATGTGCCTTTGCTTTCTCCCGTGTAAAATAAGACTAATAATACTGCTTGTTTCATAGGTTTATCACAAGGACCAAATGAGTGAATAAATGTAACAGTGCCTGACACATAAGTACTAAATAAATATCGGTCATTGTCATCAGCTTTACGTAAAGTGATGTTAAGGTCTCCTTCATTCTAGAAATACTTTGTGCAGTAGCATTTCATGTTTTTTTCCTGCCATGCACTTATTTCTTCTTCTTCTAAAATAGCATCCCAATTTCCCTTTGAGGGAACTCGTGCCCTCAGTTGACTATCAGCTAAGGATCCTTGCCTCCCCTTGCTATGGCGTATACATGTGCTCGGAGCTGGGTTAGCCAGCCTCTCTCCTGTGTCCTGTATTTTCCAGAGCCACATTATTCTGCTTTTCTTGTGATTCTGAAGGTCTTCTGTGTCCTTCCAGTAAATTCCTTTTTTATTGCCCATGAACAATGGGCACATGGAGGAAATATGGAAGGTAATTTAGCAGATTGTTAGCAAGTTAAGTTAGCAAGATAAGTGGTTTCTATTGTTGCAAATAAAGATCTTTAAAATATATATCATTGGAAATAGACATTGTAATGTTCTTTTTATGAATAATGAAACTAGCTAACATTTACTGATTCTCTGTCTAGACTTTTACTATGTGGTTATGTTTAACACACTTCTGCGACAGTAGGCATCATTAACCCCATTTTGCAGAGAAGAAAATTGAAGATTTAGATTCCCTGCCAGCTTTTTCTGCTTGTGTGTCCTTGAGCAAGTCTCTGAACATCTCCAAGGTCTCAGTGTCCTGATATGTGAAGTGGGGTTGGTGACATTTCCCACCCACAGGGTGGTTTTGAGAATCAAGCAAGATGATGAAAGTATAAAAGCTCTTTGTAATATATATATAGTTACATGCCATATACGAGTAAGATTGCATTATGATTTTCTTTGACGAAAGGACACATTTTAACTCCTGTGTCTTGGTGCCTAATTTAAGTCATTTGTTGTTCCTTCTGCATAATAATAATAACAAATAAATAATGCATGTTTCAAAGTGAAAGCCCTAGCTCACACACACCCCAGACTGAGATTCTTTTTCTTGGAAGCAACATTACACCTATGTGGATTTCCTGGCTGCTTTATTTTCTTGCCAGGCTAATCACGGCTGAAGCTTATGTTCTTTGCTTTTCTGATCAAACATAGAGCACTTCTCTCTCTTGTCCCTTTATTTCCCTCCTGTCTTTCCCAATCTCAAAGCTCCCCAAGGACCAATAAATTCCAGCAATGACTACACACAGCCCTTCTAAGGGTTTTCAGTATATTAGAAATAAGATCCAACTTCCTGTATTAAAAACAGAATTTAAATGAAGGTTTTCCAAAGTCTACTGAGGATTATATAAAGAGTAAGCAGGAATCATTAAAATTTGGAATATTCTTTTCAAATGCCAGGGTTTTTAATAGACAAATAATGTATGGGATCAGGCTGCAGTATATTAGCAAAAGATAAAGAAAAACGAATGAAAGATACACATATTTCACTGTGAAAACCAGATGAATATTCTCATTGGCCCACAGTGCCATCTTGTGGATCATTTTTAAACAGGGCTTCGTTTTCAGTTGTGATTGCATTTGTTTGCTCCTAATCATGTAAAGCATCCACTAAAGTCTGCAAATGATTTCCAGACAACCCAAGAGAGCATAGATGATCACACCTGGTAGAACTCATATGTTTATTGATATCTTATCCTACTTAGGCATAGTTGGCCAGTCATTCCATGCTTTAAATAGCTTCTCTTTTTGCCCTCTGTAATAATAGATGTTCATGGTTCTCTCTGGTCGTTTTCTTCTAGCCTTCACCAAATCTACTTTATCTATGTAACTCCTAAGGTATGTTCTTTGCCTTCTCTTTCTAGATGTAGTTGTTATGCTCCTTTTCATAGGTTTTGTAACTCGTAGAGAACCAATGGTTACCCATGGTCCATGGACATTCTTTCCAGAAAAAGACACTCAGATGACTGTGCCCCTCCTGGCACACACACTCTGACACACACAGAACACACACTCTTACACACTCACACACACCTGCACTCACATACATGCTCACACATTTCGGCCAACAATTTCAGGGGTTCACAAAGCTCCTGGTTCCATGTTTAGAACTTTTGCTTGACAGTACTTCCTTCAGTGATGTTATGGAATCCTAGACTTGTAACTATCACACCTATGAAGAGGTGTCTCAGATGCCCAGGTTCTTTTCTATATTCAGTCCTTTGTTTCCATCCGCCCCCACTATTTCTGATGTAAACATCCTGCCCTTCCCTACGGCGAACCCTGTAGCCATGTTGCTGTCTCTCAAAGAACGCCTCTGGCCACGTTCAAACTCTGTTCACTCTCCAAGCCCCAGCTCATATGCTACCATCTCTGGGAAGCCAATCCCTAATCAGAGAGAATTAAACTTTCCCTTAGTGATCTCTTAGACTATTTTTTAAGTTTTCACATTAAATATTTCAGACTTTCTACTGTTTATAACTGCCTGAGTAGATAGGTTCTTAAGGAAAGAAAACATGTCTGGTTTCATATTGCAGCTTCTATCATAACAAGAGAGGGGCTTACCTTATAACTTGTAGCTTTTCCTTTAAAGTCTTTGAGGTTGGAAGACTTGGTTTAATTTCTCACTTTAGACCTTAATGTGCGACTATGAGCAAGGTAGTTAAGCTTTCCAAGACCCGGTTCTTCATCTGTACACAGGGATCCGATGGCTCCTATATGTGGGGTCTGTGGGAAGATTCAGTAAGTCAAGGTATGTAATGCACTTTGCACATTTCCTAGCACACAACTGGGGTCAAAATATGTTTCTTGAATAATAGGACCCTCAGAAAAGGAAAAGAAGTTGAGGTCACTCTCTCCAAAAAATGTATTCCCATGATTTTGAAATCAAGGAGTTTGTCTTTTCTTTCTGTGAGAGTGATTAGGATGTCCCTGAATGTTAGAAACTCAGTTAACAGTAGAGAAACAAAGATGAATCAGCAGTTTGCTCTAATAGATCCAATCTCTGAAACCTTTCAATCAACGTTGGGATGGCAACCCAAGTAATTTTTTTAAGTATTATTTTATTTACGCCCGTGTGGCTGGCTTTTCAGTCTGGGCTGATCATTAGCAAGAGTAATCTGTAGCTGGTTTCGGTCTCCTGGCACCAGTGGTTTTCACAGCAAAAGCAAGTTGTCTGTGGTGCAGTAGAAAGAGCACTGAAGTTGGAGGTAGAGGGTCTGACCCAAAGGATACCCTTGTTTCTCCAAATCACATAGCCCAGAGAATAAATATGGACTTCTGCTGCTCATGGAGGTGCTCATGTCTATTGATATAAATTATTTTATGTCCTTCAGCATGATATTTTGTGCAAAAAAACTATTTTTATAAGTTTATATTTTTAATAAAAATCTGTTTATTTTACAACTTAAAAAATATTATCTTCCCGGTTTCTGCCATATTGTTTGCCAGCCCCTTCCCCAGAGTGTTGATCCAGCTAACAACACGCTAGATCGCATTTCCCTCACCTCCCACCAGCTGAGATGTGAGCTTACTGTTTCTCCCTCCCCATCCCTGCCATCCTTGTTGAACTAAGTATCCTCCAAAAATATGATTTTCATTAATCTGATAGATGTACTGTGGGGTCATGTTGCCATTTAAGTTGGGCATTTCTATGGTTATGAGAGATGCTGAACTTGTTTCCTAAGCTATTTAAATTTCTCATTCTATGACTTCCCTACTCATGCCCTTTGACGATAGAGTTGGCTTTCTTATATTTTTCTTGTTGGTTTGCAGGAGTACTTTGTATATGCTAGGTATTAATCCCATTTAAAAAATTCTCCTATTTTTTTCATCAGCTTGTAGCTGTATGTTTCACATTGAAGTCTCTAATTATCTAAAAGTTCCTCCCTTGACCAGCCTGGGCAAAAGAGTGAGACATCATCTCTACTAAAAAGTAGAAAAATTAGCCAGACGTGGTGGCACATGCCTTGGTCCCAGACACTCAGGAAGCTGAGGTGAGAGGGTCGCTTGAACCTGAAGGTGGAGACTACATTGAGCCGTGATCGTGCCACTGCACTCCAGTCTGGGTGACAGTGAAACCCTGTCTGAAAAATAAAAGAAATAAAAGAAAGTTCCTCTCCTTATTTATGGAATGAGAAGAAGGTCTCACTTTATTTTTCTCCTTAACACGAGTCTATTTCCCAATATCAACTTCTTAACAATCTGTCCTTGAGCCACTGACTTTTCTTGCCACCTCTATCATATATCAATTCCTAGATATATATGGATCTGCTTCTGAATTTCCTTTTCCATTTCATTGTGATAGTTGAATGTTCCTGTAATAGTACTGTTTTTGTTTCCATGGTTTTGTACTATATCTTCACATCTGCTAAGAAATTCCCTTTCATTTTCTCTTCTTTTTAAAAATTAACTTAGCTAGTCATGGACTTTTAGTATTAACCACAAATTTGAGATAAGTCTTAAGTTCATTAAAAAATAATGCCAGTTTATAAACTGAATTAATTTCTAAATTACTATATTTTTTTCTTTTTTTTTTTTTTTTTGAGATGGAGTCTCGCACTGTCTCCCAGGCTGGAGTGCACTAGTGCGATCTCAGCTCACTGCAACCTCCACCTCCTGGGTTCAAGTGATTACCCTGCCTCAGCCTCCTGAGTAGCTGAGATTACAGGCGCCCGCCACAACATCTGGCTTTTTTTTTTTTTTTGTATTTTTGGTAGAGACAGGGTTTCACTATGTTGGCCAGGCTGGTCTCGAATTCCTGACCTCATGATCCACCCACCTCGGACTCCCAAAGTGCTGGGACTACAGGCATGAGCCACCGCGCTAGGCCAAATTAATTTTTAAAGAATTGACTCTATTACAATTTTAGGTCATTCCACCCATGAACCTAATGGCATTTTCATGTATTCAAGTCTTTGTCTATTTCCTTTAATAAAGCTTTAAATTATGATTTGTAAAGCTCTTATATTTTCTTGTTAAGTAAATTCTTAAATATGCTAGAGATTTATTGCTGTTGTAAATGTTATGTTATTTTCCATTATATGTTCTAGTTTGACATTGCTGGTATAGAGAAACACTATTATCACTTGATACAGTCTCTGCAAATATTACTGATATGTCTTATTCTAGTTCATGATGGTTTGAGTTTTGTGTAGATTATCACATCATTTTCAATTATGTAACTCTTCTCATCTCTTCCAGTCTTTAAATTTTATTTTTCTTGGCTGATAGTAGCGCCCAAGACCTCCAAAGCCAAAACCACGTTCACAGTAGCAGTAATAAAGAGTCACATTCTATTTTCCTAATCTTAATGAGAATGATCAAAGATATTACCATTAAAGATCATCTTTAAGGTTTAGGTGTGGATATTTTATCAAGTTTAAGAAATTCCCTGCTAGTCTGAATTTGCTAAGAGGTTTTAACATAAATATATGTTGAATTTTATTAGATATTTTAATTTACTAATCATACAATTATCTTCTTTAGACCATTTATTTGGATAACACCTAATTAATTTTCATTAATATTTCTCGTGTGCTAACAGAAAATGTCATTCAATTAGGATTTTTTTTTTGCTTATATATCTGTTATCAAATTGTCTTCTGCATGAAAGTCATTCATTCTACTTTTAAAGTGTTTACCCTCAATTACTAAGACCTATACTTGTGTTTATTTTTCTATATGGATCTCTTAAACTTAGCATTAACTCTATGTTTCTCTAAATAGTACAAAGACCCTAATTATCTTCATTCCTTCTCCTTTTTCTTTTTTTTTTTTTTGGTTTGATAGATTCTACTGTTTGCATTATAGACTTCTCACATCCTAATTTTCAAGTTGGTTATTCTTTGCAAGTGCTTGTTATGGCCTTTATTACAAATTTTCTTGACTACTCCTTTGAGATATTTATCATATCTATTTAGATTTTTAAAAAATATGCTCCATTCATTCTACTGCATCTGGTATAGGTTATTTCTATTTGTTTTTGTTGTTGTTTGTTTAACATTGATTCAGTTGGCCAGTATCTCATGATTCTCCCCGGGAGCTCATATTCCCCTGGGAATATGAATTGCTTCACCATATCATCTCTACCAGGAGAGGCAAAAGTTCAGTCCCTGGTTTCCCTCCCATAAGTCTGAGGAGAAAGGACCCTGCCTCAGGACATTGGGCCTCTGGGATTACTTATTTCTCTCAGTATTGTCCACTTGCCACTTTTACCAGCAACACTGACCTTTGCTAGCACTGCTTTAACAAGGTACCACCAACAGAACGGTTTAAACAGTATATTGTCCCATAGTTCTGGAGGCTAGAAGTCCAAGACCAAGGTGTCAGAAGAGTTGTTTCCTTCTGAGGGATGTGACGAAGAACTGCTTCCAGTTCTCCCCTAGCTTCTGGGGGTTTGCTGGTGTATTAGTTCATTTCCATGCTGCTGATAAAGACATACCCAAGACTGAGCAATTTACATAAGAAAGAGGTTTATTGAACTTACACTGACTGGGGAGGCCTCACAATCATGGTGGAAGGTGAAAAGCATGTCTTACATGGCAGCAGATAAGAGAAAAAGAGCTTGTGCAGGGAAATTCCCCTTTTTAAAACCATCAAATCTCATGAGACTTATTCACTATTACAAGACAGCATAGGAAAGATCTGCTCCCATGATTAAATTATCTCCCACAGGGTCCCTTCCATAACACATGGGAATTTAAGATGAGATTTGTGTGGGGACACAGAGCCAAACCATATCATTCTGCCCCTGGCCCTCTCATATCCTCACATTTCAAAACCAATCATGCCTCCCCAACAGTCCCCCAAAATGTTGGCTCATTTCAGCATTAACTCAAAAGTCCACAGTCCAAAATTTCATCCAAGACAAGGCAAGTCCCTTCCTCCTATGAGCCTGTAAAATCAAAATCAAGTTAGTTACTTCCTAGATACAATGGGGGTACAGGCATTCAGTAAATACAGCTGTTCCAAATGGGAGAAATTGGCCAAAACAAAGGGGCTACAGGCCCCATGCAAGTCCAAAATTCAGCAGAGCAGTCAAATCTTAAAGCTCCACATGATCTCCTTTGACTCCATGTCTCACATCTAGGTCATGCTGATGTAAGAGGTGGGTTCCCATGGTCTTAGGCAGCTCCACCCCTGTGGCTTTGCAGGGTAAGGCCTCCCTCTTCACTGCTTTCATGGACTGGCGTTGAGTGTCTGTGGCTTTTCCAGGTGCACAGTGCAAGCTGTCGTTGTATCTACCATTCTGGGATCTGGAGGATGGTCACCCTCTTCTCACAACTCCACCAGGTAGTGCCAAATTCCCCACACCAGGAATTTATGTGGGGGCTCTGACCCAACATTTCCCTTCCACATTGCACTAGCAGAGGTCCTCCATGAGAGCCCCACCCTCTGCAGCAAACCTCTGCCTGGACATCCAGGTGTTTTCATCCATCCTCTGAAAACTAGGCAGAGGTTCTCAAACCTCAATTCTCAGCTTCTGTGCATCTACACCACATGGAAACTGACAAGTCTTGGGGCTTGCACCCTCTGAAGCCACGGCCCGAGCTGTACCTTGGCCCCTTTTAGTCATGGCTGGAGCAGCTGGGATGCAAGGCACCAAGTTCCTAGGCTGCACACAGCATGAAGACCCTGGGCCTAGCCCACAAAATCATTTTTTCCTCCTAGGCCTCCAGACCAGTGATGGGAGGGGCTGCCATGAAGACCTCTGACATGTCCTGGAGACATTTTCCCTAATGTCTTGAGGATTAATATCTGGCTTCTTGTTACTTATGCAAATTTCTGTAGCAGGCTTCACTTGAATTTCTCCTGAGGAAATGGGATTTTCTTCTCTATCACATTGTCAGGATGCAAATTTGCCAAACTTTTATGCTCTGCTTCCTTTATAATACTGAATACCTTTAACAGCACCCAAGACTCCTTTTGAATGCTTTGCCACTTAGAAATTTCTTCTGCCAGATACCCTAAATCATCTCTCTCTAAAGTTCCACAAATATCTAGGGCAGGGGCAAAACACCACTAGTTTCTTTGCTAAAACATGACAAGAGTCACCTTTGCTCCAGTTTCCAACAAGATCTCCATCTGAGATCACCTCAGCTTGATCTTCATAGTTCATATCACTATCAGCATTTTGATCAATGCCATTCAACAAGTCTTTAGGAAGTTCCAAACTTTCCCACGTTTTCCTGTCTTCTTCTGAGCCCTCCAAACTGTTCCAACTTCTGCCTGTTACCCACTTCCAAAGTCACTTCCACATTTTCAGGGATCTTTTCAGCAGCACCCCACTCCACTCATAT